ATATTTTTTTAAATTTATTACAGAGCGGAAGGGATTGGGGAGAGAGAGATAGAAACATTGATGAGCGAGAAACATCACGGATCGGCTGCCTCCTGCACGCCCCACACCGGGGATGGAGCCCGCAACCCGGACACGTGCCCTGACCTCCCGGGAATCGAACCGGTGCCTCTCGGTTCCTGGGTCGATGCTCAACCACGGAGCCACGCCGGCCGGGCCGGGTCTTGGCTTCTAAGAACCGTTTTCCACGAAGGGGGAGCAGAGTCCTTGGAGCCGGGCTGGTCCCAGAGCTGAGGGAGGGAGGTGCTGGGAGGGGCCTGGAACCTCGTGGTTATCAGGAAGTGACAAGCAAGCCGCTCGCAAAACGACGAGCACTTATCAACCCGACAGAAGCAGCTCGAAGGGGCTCCTGGTGGCTTCCTCGGGGCCAAGTTTAGCATCCAAATAAGGAGATGCTCCTACGTCGGTGCGGCTCAGGGGGTAGAGCGTCGGCCTGAGGACCGAAGGGTCCCGGGTTCGATTCCAGCCAAGGGCACGTACCTGGGTTGCAGGCTCCTGCCCGGCCTGGGCCCTGGTTGGGGCGCGTGCAGGAGGCGACCCATCGATGTGTTTCTCTCACATCGGTGTTTCTCTCTGTCTCTCCCTCTCTCTCCCACTCTCCCTGAAAATCGATGGAAACATATCCTCGGGTGAGGATTAAAAATAAACAAATAAATAAAAGAAAAAGAAAAAGAAAGTAAGTAGATGGTAACCGTCGGTTGAAATGTATTTACTCGTTCATTCCTGGTGGAGGAGAAAGGCTTGTTGGCGGTAAATGTAGACGATGACCCGCGTAGAACATCGTCACCTAGAATCGCAGCACAGTGCCCCCCCCCCAGCCACGGGGACACCTTCCAAGGCCCCAGGGGGTGTCTGAAACCACAGATAACACCGAACCCCATACGGACTATGTGTTTTCCTACAGACATGCCCGCGATGAGGTGTCATGGATACATGATCCAGTGAGATTCACAACAATAGCCAAGAATAAAACAGCACCATCATGACCACACGCTCCAATAAAAGTTCTGTGGACGTGGCCCCTCCCTCCCTTCCCCCCGCAGAAAGGCTCCTGCGCTGCGCTCGCCTCGGCCCGGGATGATGGGAGGAGATACGCTGGCTGCCTACGTGACCGGATGCAGGGAGGCGACGCCTTGGGCACTGGGCAGCAGGAGGCCGCTGTGACCTCTGACCCTGGAGAATGGCCAGCATCGCTGCTCCCCTGCTCCGGGGCCTGGGACCTGAGCAAGGGCGCAGATTTCTCCGGCGGCGTGGGCGTCCGCCGAGGTGTGCTGCTGGGGTCGCGAGGGCCATGGGGAGCCAGCGAGGGCCGAGGGACTGTTTCACGGACGTCGGTGGACAGCTCCTTGGAGGACGAGGGGGTGGGGTGCCCCGGTTCCCGGCGGCCGAGTCAGCCTGGTGCGGCGACCGCCTATCTGATAAGCGAGGGCCACTGGCTGACTCACTGGCGGGGAACGTCTGCGGCCTGGAGACCCTGAGACCCCGGACGGGTGAGTCAGGCCCCGGTGGGACGGACCGGGGCCTGAGATTTCATCAAACTGCTCAGATCGGCGAGCGTCGTGCGCGTGTGAGTTGTTCGTGCTGGGGTTTTGCACCTCATGTTGCTGGGCCACGTCGACCCTGGCCGACCGCAACCTGGGACAGTGCAGATCACCCGCTGACGCTCGGACAGCGAGGTTGTGACGGGTAACAGGACACACAGGGTCCTTCCCTGCAAAGTAGGAATGACCAGGGCCACACGCTCAGCTCACCACGTGTGACACGGACACGGGCGTGTGCCACACAAGCGGCCAGTGTTGACCTGCTGTGTGGACTGTGGCCAGGCCTTGGTCGGGGCCCTGGTTTTCCCCTGGCCCCTCCGTCCCAGGACCCGCTGGGACCCGCGTCCACCGGTCCCCACGCCTCCTCGGGCCCCGGGGCCGGGATGGTCTCTCGGACTCACTGGTTTTGAGGAGACCGGGCCGGTGTTTGCGGGGTGCGCTCTGTTGGGGTTTGTGCCGCGATTAGAGCGGGGTTGTGCATTTTGGGGAGAACCCGGGGTGCCCTTCTCATCTCGTCCTGTCAGGCCACACGCCCTCAGCACCGCCTGTCCCTGGAGGCTGACCCTGACCGCCTGGCTGAGGCGCGCTGGTCAGGCTGTGCCCATCTGTCCTGCACCCTCCAGAGGGGGAGGAGGCCCCTGGCACAGCCCCCAGGGGTGCAGTGGGGCCCCTCCCCAGTGGGGTGCCCAAACTCAGCATGTGGGGTGCTCTTGCACGGCCACTTGCCGCTCCCTCCCCATCCCGTGTCTCACCAGCCCCCTGTTCGTGCCGGTGGCCCCGGGCATGTGCGGTCCGATGCGGCCTTGCCCGGTTTTACACACATTGTTCCAGTTGTGGCCCCTGGGAGCTTCCATTTGGCTCATGTGACCACAGTTTTCAATTAACCAGTTACTTACTGGCTGGGGGGGAGGGGAGGATGAGGTCCCTGGACAGCAAATAACATGCTACACGCATGCAGATGTGCACCACACATGCACACTCACAGGTAAGCACACACGTACGCAGGCACACACGAGCATGTGAACATGTGCACACAGGTGCAAGCCTATGCACATGCACACTCACAGTTGCACACACATGCACACATACTCACACGGGTATGTGAACACATGCAACACTCACAGGTAAGCACACACGTACGCAGGCACACACCCGAGCATGTGAACACGTGCACACACCCACAGTTGCACACACATGCACACACATGCATACTCTTCCACGGGCATGTGAACACATGCATGCACTCACACAGGCGCATGGATGCTGGTATGTGCGCACACATATGCGCACACACGTGCACACAAACACATGTACACTCCCACTTGCACACTTTGAGGCCCTGCATTTCCGTGGAAATGAAGACAGGAGGCAGCCTAGGCCTGACCCTCCGGACGGGTCCAGGGAGGGGACGGGAACCTGTCCGCTGGGCCAGCCCCTTGTGCCGGGGTCTCTCGGTTCCGTGTCCAGCGCGGCTAGAGAGAGAGGTCTGGTTATGTGAGTAGAGGCAGCTGGGGGTTTGAGAAACATGAAAGAATATGGACACAAGGCACAAAGATGGACGGAAAAAGCTGGGACCGGGTGGGCCCGCCATCCTCCTCTGACGGACAGACAGAGACCCCGCACCGGAACCGCGTGTTTAATTTATACCCAGATACCAGGAAGTCACGTCAGTTCTGGGCGGCCGGGCTGGGGCTGGTGGGCGTGAGGAGCCCTCAGGACCCCGAGGGCTGGCTCCACCTCAGGGCCCCTCCCAAGGGCGGGCGCTCGGTCCCTTGGCCGTTAAGCCAGAGATTGGGGTCAAAACCGACCTGCCCGTCGGAGGGAGGAGAGTCCCGTTCATTCCTGGTGCTTGGCTGGATTTACAATAAATAAAACCCACTCCGACCCCTGGGCAGAGGAGAGTCAATGCTGAGAACACGCCTGCCTTCTTGGCAAGATGTGTATCCAAGACGTGGCTCTGCCCGTCGGCTTGGACTCAGCCGACAATTATTAGATAAATGCCCATGTGCCTTTCTGGGGGCCCTCTACACCCTTGGAGCTGCAGCTGCTGCCGTAGGGCCCTCCTGGCTCCCACAGGCCGCCCTGGGGGGGGTGGGCGGGTGGCCGCCGCAGGAGTCCAGGGGAGAGGGCCAGGGGCTGAGGGCCGGGCAGCGCCAGTGGCTTCCTCGGATGCCAGTGCCTCGTGCAGAGGGGGAGTCGGAGCGGAGGGTGCAGCTCACCTAGAGGACAGAGGTTCTGGTGCTGGGACCTGCCAGTGGGCACAGGAAAGGGGCCGGGGTCAGAGGCCTGGTCAGCTCCCCCGTGGCCGGTCCCGGGGAGCCTGGTTATCTGCCCACAGAGGGGTCTGGGGCCGCTTTGGGAGGACACCGTGAGGCCATCTTTGCGAAGTGCCGAGCACACAGTAGGTGCTAAGCAGCGGCAGGTCGGGACCCCAGGCCTGGCTCTCACCCCAACGTTTTATCCCCGTGGGACACACTGCTTTCCTCCCGAAGCAGAAGTGGGCAGACCCCGAGCGATTGGCTCGTCCCCGGGGAGAGGGCTTGGGCCCAGCCCCCACCGCCCAGCCCTGCTGCACCCCT